ATGTATATATAAGATTTAACAGGTATTAAGTGTTTATACTATCTTAGCAGTGGATAACATTTCACCTCATCACACTCGGTATTGAACGGATCCACCGCAAACTCAGAACATATCGGACGAGTATCTATATACTATACTATCACCGCCTATAAATATGTATATTGTATTCAAATACTATAACATACTATCTATATATTATACAATTATACATATATATATATATATAGGAAACTGAGTGTGTTGCTGTACAGTCGCGAGTCGTCGGCGTTTTCTACGAGCGTGACGAATTTCACTAAGTGATATATATATTTTATACATGTTATTCCTATTTATTTCCACATTTTTCGTCTCCTCCGTAGGTATATAACGTTATATACGATATACTTATTCTTGTCTTCTTTCGTCGTCGTCGTCATCACCGTGATCGTTGCACCAGTGTTGTGCATATAAATAATTTATATAGATTATAATATATATATATATATATATCGTCGTCGTCGTCTCTCCCGATTGTATGGTGTGTAATTTTGTCACGGTTTCGACGTTTCGTGTGTGTGCGTGATGCGAGGTACAACCGCGGTATTTAAAACACGTTGCAGCGGCAGCAAAAGGAGCGGCAATCAGTGCGTGGAGGAAAAAGCAGCGCGTTTTCTTTTGAGATTCGTTCATATTATTTTTATTTTTTTTTTATCCTCCATTCGGGAATACGCGCGTAAATGATTTACTCGAGTTGTCCCCTCCGCCGCCACCATCGTTCTCGTGGACGGACACACGCGCGTGTCCCCTCGTCCACCGTCATCGCGATATCTGTTCMTGTCAACCGCGCGTGAACACGTTCGGCGCGCAATTATGCGGTAACCGTTGCAGTGTTGTAGACGTGGTCGTCAGGCGGCAAACAAAAAAAAAATGGTCGCTAAAAACAAAACGGGAAAAAAATTAAATTAAAAATACATTTCGGTCACATTATATTGTTATTATTATTATTGTTATCATATTATGTTATACAGGAAGGAAAATACCTGCAGTGCCCCGGTGTTTCCCGCTATACATTGCAAGACGGATCTATGTATAGGTGAAAAAAAAAAATAGAAATTATCTATGTATATTTTTTAATTCAAAGCGTTTCCTTGCGTCAGATTTTGTTCCACGTTCGTGCGAGGCATAATAGAAAATTTCAATCATATATGTATTTTTTTCYTCGTGACACTCGGTAATATAGTGACGTTCAAATCGCGTRATAAAATATTTCATTCTACGATTCGTATCCAGAGGGATTTCGATAAATTAGTTATAAATATACGATACGAAATAATCTATKTTGTTATCACGTGATTGTTTTATTCTAATAAAATAATAAGAAAAATGAAGAAAAAAAAACATGTTCGTYTGAAACTTTAAAAAATATATTGAAAATAATATACACAAATATTATGTTAA